GCTGGGAACCACAGACCCAACCCTGCATGCAGGCGGTTCAGGACATTGGTCGCTTGAGACTGACCCTGGACAACGCAGGAAGAACCGTGCCTCGCCAATAACGAGACTTTCTGCTGTGCTTTCTGCATCCGGACTTGCCTATCACGCATCGGCCCTTTTAGCCATCAGCGCGCTTGTAGCAAGTGTGGGTAGAGCCCTTCCCATATCTTCATTTGCAAAGCCTAGCCATGATGATGATGATGATTGGAACTGATTAAAAAGAGGCAGGAATTTTTAAAAACAGTGGCTTCAGCACTGGGTGAGAGCTGGAAGGAATTAGAGGTGCAATTCTGTGAATCTGGAAAGAAACAAGGGAAGAAAAAACCACAAATAACTGTGAGATTTGCCTGGAAAAGATTTGAAAACACTACTCTCAAGTGCCCAAGACTACCTACATCTATTTATACATACCATCTACCAGACTACAGAGAGTGGAAATTTGGGGCACGATGACATTGTTACCAGAAGCAAAACCTGGGCAGAATGCAGAAGCACGATTTATAACAAGGATAATGAGTTTAAGGTTTTTGTGGGGGATTTTTAAAATTCTTTTTTAAATGAAGACTTGCATGAGAATTGTGATGAGCTGACTGTTGGAAATTTGATAGACTGCATTTCAGAAATTATTAAATGCTTGAGGTTTTTTATGAGGGTACTTTTATCTGTGTTTTTTTAAAGGATCTGTGTTTTTTTAAAGGATCAGGTAGTTAGATGCACAAATCTACTGACATTTTTAATTTAAGAGGCACTTACTCTTTACTGGGGGAGGAGCAGAGTTGGGGTTAGAGGGTAGGAAGCCACTTGAGCTATTATGCATCAACAATTCCTTTATAGTAGATAAAAGATCTGGGACAATGGGCGGTAGAAGCTCTGCATCTGATGGTGGGATGACTCCATTGCTGTCAGTTTTCAAATAGCCATCAAGGCCTCCTTATGAAGATTTTGTCTCAAACCCTGACACAGGAAATGTCAGGGCACGTTGGGAGGAGAATCATATTAAGGACAGCCTGCATACGTGGCAGTGTGACAGCCTGGGAGACTGACTCCAAGTTATGCCAGATGCCTTCATAGCTTCCTGAGCTGCCTTGGAATGGGAAGGCCTAAAACTGGCTGAAAGCCAGTTTAAAATGCTTTCCACAGACTCTTGTACTTCGATTTTTGGCTACATTTCCCAACGCCAAGCTCATGTTTATAGTACATAATTCATACTGTCTTCATTTGTTCTGGTGATTTGTCATAAAGATACTAAACCTGTTTTTTCTCAGTTTGTTTTTAAAGAAGCTGAGCAAACAAGTCATTATGAAGGGCTTTCTATTACTTTAGAATCCTATTTCCGACTTTTACACTAGTGTCACTGCTTGCACTTGACTTACTGATCCTATTCTGGTGTTTTTAGGTGGAGCCTGTCCTTTGGTAAAAGAGTGGTTTGTCTATTTTGGAAATCCTCTCCAGCAGCCAGAGCTGATACAACCTGTGCAACCTTCTGTTCCAGGTAGAATAAAATTGTGTTTTAATCTGAACTGAAAGAACACTAACTGAACAACAGTACAATCTGGTTAGACAATCCATCATGAGATGTTTGATATGGAATCCAGAATGACTGTGGAGAACAAGGAGCTAAAGTAGAAATGCTGCCTCCTGGTAATTGCTTTTGATTATCCTGTATAATTATAATAGGATTCAGCTTCGAGCTGCATGTTATTACCATGTCTTGTTAAACCCAGCGTTAATTCAAACCTCAGTTCTAAGTACTGCTCTGAAGCCAGGGTAAGTGGTGTGTAGGGCCTTATTAAAGTTCTTCTTTTAAGCTGTTTGAGAGAATGTGTTAACGAGACTGATGGAGAATATAAAAAATGGTGAAGATGGTGGAGAATATTAAAAAGGCCCATTTTTAGATCACCTGTGACAGCGCAAAAAGTAATTAGACTATAGTAATTAGACTATATCTTTCTGTGCAGCTATTTCTGCTGTCTTATGCATCAAGTGTACCATATGTTCTTACCTTTCTTCTGGTAAAGGTCACATTCATGGGCACTCTACATGTTGCTCAGCTCTTTATCACTAGATTGTATCACGCGATACAAATTTAGAATCGGAAGTAGAAAGTGCTGTATCAATTTTGTTATTTCAAAGGGAAAATCGTTTTAATTTTTCATTTGTCCGTGCTATCGTAGTCATAATTGCTTCATCTCTGCTCTCACAGCGCTCTCTCTGTCTGGTCATCTGCTATCATGTGGATCAGGAGCTCAGAGGGTTTTTTAGTCTTTCCATATGAAATAAGTTAGTTCCATTGATACATTGCTCCAAAAAATTCTTTTAGGAATAATTACCTGTGCTGCTTCTGTCAGTACCCAGAGCTTTCTGTACCAGTCATTGTTCTGATCTGGTGTAAATCCAGATTCAGAAGTTGAAACGCTTGCAGGGATTTTTTTAATTTTATTTTTTTGAAGGGGTTGGTTAGCGCCTACTTTAGAACCTAATTGTTTTTAATTTTCTAGGGTTGTAGTAAATTTTCTCTTAAGGTATCTTTGTATTTGAAACTTGTAAATTTAATGAGAGTCTTCAAATTCAAGGATGAAGGGAAAACAATGGATATCAGCCTTTTCAAAATCTTTTTGAAAGGAACTGTTTGGAAAGAAATGAGTTACATAGACAAAGTACAAACAAGGTTTCATTTGATATACAATAATTTCACTGTCCAGTAGCCCTGATACAATATTAGGAGAGTGATTATCTAATTGACCTGATGATAGCATGAAATTGCTGTGGAATTTTCCAAACCGATATGAATATGCAGGATAAAAATGATTGGTCTGTCCTGTACAACTGTTTTATTTCATATTTGTTTATACAATGGTCTGGGAACAGCATTTGTAAAAGAAGCAAACAAAACTCAACAAAGTATACGCCATACCTATGTAGTCACATTTCAGTTTGTGTGACAGATATACTGTATTTATTGTTGTGAAATTTTCTTGCCCAGATAGTATAGCACCTTCCTCCCTTTCTGGAGAGGAATCCACTTGATCTCATATACTCTGGTCCTACTGCCCTGCAAAAGTGATGCACATAGAACCCACCTTGATGTTGACAATAAACGGGATTTAAAATCACTCTGCTTATTTGTTCATAGCAACCACATAAAAGGAGTTTACAAAACCAGCATCTTCTCAGCTGTAATCTACAAACTGAGTAATGAAAAGCTGCTCGAGCAGAGCATTAAAAAAGAGGAGGAGGACTTTAGTATTTATTTTTAGTGCTCTGTTGTCATTCCTTCAGCGAACAAATATTTTTCTAAAATTTTTGCAGTCCATATTTGTATGCCTTACATTCGCTCATGCATCTTTTATTTTCCACAGCATGACTTTCTAATTCGCCAAATAAGGTTCTCAGCTGAGCATCACATTTTTCAGACAGGGATCATATTTAGAGCTAAATTTAAAGAAGTTGTTATAGGAAGGTAGAGTTCAAAGCTTTTAGTCAAGGTCAGATTATTCAAAAATAGAAGAAATCTTGCCAGAGACTGTTTGAAAATTTGAAATTTATAATTAATTTGGAAAGATTATTTGTTTTATCTTTTTTGGAAAAAAATTATAACCTCATCATCACAACTACTTTAGAAGTCTGCTGAGAATAAATGAGAAATCCTGGTTCTATTGAATTTGATTTAGATTAAAAAGTCTGAGAAGAGAGTATTTGCTACAGACTTAAATGTAATGTGCATAACCGTTAATATTTTAAATTTCACATTGATCTAAAAAAAAAAAAGTAGAATTCCCACCAATTTTTTTTGTGTGTATAAAACAGCAAAACTATCTTGTGTCCAAAAAGCTTGCAGGTGATAGATTGAATGTTAGCTTTTTTTATAAAAAATCAAAATATCAAATCCTAAAGGCTATAAGTTGATATCTTAAAATACATTTAAAATATATTGTTCATAATGTGCGTGTATTTTCCTTGAGAGACAGTCTTCTGAATTAGCATCTGTGCTTGCTTACGTTGTCTGCCTCTCTTTCTTCCTTCTGGAATTTTTCCTTTCAGTTGAATGAATGTGACCATGATGTTTCCCACACATTGACAGAGCAGCACTTAAATTGATAAAAAATGTCTCTGAGAAATGAATTTTATTAGATCTCTAATCCAGAAAAATATTATTTGATAGCCATATCTTGTGAACGTAGCAGATCTGTTTGGTATGTGTGCAGTTTATGTGGAACAGAGGAAGTTTTTAAAGTCTTTGCTGGAGATGTAGGAATTCCGTTTTTCACTTTGTTTCTGAAAATGTGTAGGATACTGTATCTTCATAGCACAGGAGTTTGGATGTACTTTCAGTATTCTAATCATTGCATCTCACAGGACTATGTCATGAATACATGTTCAAAATGCCGTCTCTGGATTTAATTGGCATTTGCGTTTATGGCATTTTTAAAATTGGACACTTGTTGACAAGTTAATTTGAGTGTTCTTAGCAAGTACATTTTCATAAACTCATTGCTCAGTATTTACATGAGCACATAAAATGAAGTATTGAAGTTCTATTACTGGTGTTTTAAAATGAAATTTCCGTAGTCATTACCTCAAATACACATGAAAAATTAGTATTATACATTCCTACCTGTATACACAATGGTGACATGCAAGTTGTTGTGAATAGTGAGAATGGCCTTTGTATCGTCGTTGAGTTCAAAGATACAGTATTAATGCATTCCACAGCTTTTGCATGCATTGCATATTCATTTATGAATATTCAGTTATTGAAGTTCAAACAAATGAAATAAATATTTATGTATTCCCTTGAAGTGCCCTTGTTTATCACGATGCTTTCTATATGATAATGTCTTCAGAGATGTGGATGAATAGGAAAAAGGAAAAATAATGCAATCAATGCTTTTTCTCTTTCCTCTTGACCTCCATGGAGGTCTTTGTGATGCTGCTCTTCTTGGAATTCCCAGGGATGATAGTTTACATAGCACTGAATATGGTTTTTTGCAGTTTTATGTGTGCATGTTGAGAACAACCGTGAGCATATGCAGTGTTTGAGTATCTCACTGTACTTCACAGGAATTTGTTGTTCCTACATCTCCAGTAGGATAGACAATTTTCTCCTGACTAATCTTTACAGTAAAGATGTATCAATTATGTAAATCTGTTTTGTTCTGTTTCCTTTTTGTTACTCAGTTTTGGGGTTTTTTTAAGGCTCATTTAGTATATATTTAGATGTGTTCAGAAAGTAGAGTATTTCAAGTAAATTTCTGTCTTTCAGTAATGTTTTCTAATTGCTGTAAAGTGTGTAACAAGGTTGTAACTAGAGCAGAGAACAGTTTAGGGGGTCTCATGTGTTGACTGTATGCATCATTTCATTAAACTTCAGTGTATTTGTTTCTTTGTTTTACTTATCATACATTTGAGAGTTAATATAATGGATTGCTCTGGGATATTGCATGGAATATAATTACTTGTAGGAGAGATCCTTTCAGAAAAATAACACTTTTGGTTGGTATGTTCCAAAAGGAGGTAGCGTCAAGTTTTCCTTCCCTGAGTAAATAACTCATAATTCATCAGTACCTCTTTTTCCCAGGCGCAAGTAGATGTTGTTTCTGAAAGTGTAAGAAACTGTTTATAGAAGAGATGTCTTGAATTTTTTGTTGAGCTCTCTCAATATAGATACGTGATCTTGATTATTGATGTAGTTCATGGCTTTACTCTGAAGGAAGAATGATTTCTATTATTAGATATACCCATCGGTGCAATTCATTTTAAAAAACACCCTGTACAGATGGAAAGAGTACTTTCCTTTAACTGATTCTTGACATTTCATATGCAGCTGATTGGGAACTTCCTGAAAAGCCAAACCCATCAAAACTGTTTGAGTTTACCCATGTAAAAATTGTCTCACACATTACATTTGCATAGCCTTGGTAGGAAAAGTTGGCTTCGTTTTTGTTTCAAGCATGTTATATTTGCTTTTCTTCCTGGAAGTCAGTCTCTGCTGTTCTTTTCTTTCTTAAAGCAGCAATTACTGGTATCAAAACCAGTAATCTGAGTCTTACTGAGCTGTCTGAGCTGGCCCGCTCACTGCCAGTGTCCGTGTTATCACTGCCCTGCATTTCTAACTCAAAGGAAGCAGCTGATATTTTTTATTAATATGTCTACAAAATGAGGTTAGAAACTTACAGATTTTATCATATTAGTTCTTTACATGGTTAAAACTTCTGACAGGAGAGTTAGTCTTAAAAATAGCAGAAGAAACATCTATCAGGGAGATGAAGAAAGAAAATACTAACTTCTCTTTTAGTTTCCCACTCTCCAAAGAATTGGAACCATTTGGATAATGGGCTTTCTTGGCCAAATAAACATCGTCTGTGTAGATTTCAACACCTTGTCACTTTAACCATTTATTATCACCAAGTGTTCCTAACTGGACTACAGCTGCTGCACGTCACACAAAAAAAGGCAAAGGTGTTACCAAATGTAGCTTAATTAGGCCACGTTTAAAATTCACACCTCGTTTTATTTAACTACAGAAGCAGCAGTAGTTTATGGGAGGATTCTGTCTTCAACTGGAATTCTTAGGCGTAAGCAGTTAGGTGTTGTTACTTCATGTGCATTAGTGTTTATTTTGATAATGGATTAAATGTAATTTAGACAGGGAGCAAATTTTACATTAGTTCACACGTGTCAGAAGTTGGGAGATAGCAACATGGGGTAAATATTAAGGATTTAGAGACCATGGTGAATGATACTATAGAAAGTCTTGAAACGTCCGTTACACATAACTGATGACAGTTCTTGTGTGTGTGGTTTTCAACAATGTTTGATACAGTAGCCTAGCGAGTGCAAAATACCAAGTAGCCTTGGTTTTTGTTCTCAAAACTGGAACCTACTGTGGTGGAGTCGTACCAGCACAGTGTTTTGGGAAGGGTGTGTGTTTGCCAGCAAATGGCGTAGGTGACCAGTTTGTTCATTAAAAAAGATAATGATAAGGGAGGCTGTGTGATGATCCTTCAGGGGTCCACACTAGTTTTGGGGGAGAGAGAGAAGCAGCAGATATGGCTGTTTTCTGATGAATCACTCTGTTACAATGACGCTAACCTCATTTAATACTGTGGATCCCCAAAGGAAAGGGCACACTGGCAGGCAAACTTTGTTATTGCAAAGAGTAAAAGCCTCCTGTCTCAAAATTGTCTATATTGTTGTAACAATTGAATTCAGTCCACTCTGCTTAAACATGCCGGTATTCGAAACAATTTGTTGAAATTACAAGCCTTGCTCTTTTTTTTCTGTTATTTTTTTTCAAATGCCAAGTTTTGCCAAATTAATTTTATTTTCAACTCTGTGGTCCTTGCACATGCCAAGAGCAGATCGGGTGTTTCCTTCCAGGTTGTAATGAAGTAGACATGTTTTATCTCGTTGCTGCCAAGATAAAATAATAGATTTCTTTTGTAGGTGGAATGCCTAATTTGAAAACATTGTGGTTTGCCAAAGGACCTGATGTGGAAAAACAACGGTATAGTACGTTTTTGGCATGCTTTCACCTTCAGGATGGAATGGAAGAGCTCCAAGCTCTAGAAGCACCTGTTGCAGGATTCTGCTGCTTGCTGGCCTATCTTATGATGCAGGTAACTGGTACCGTTGCTTTTTCTGTGCAGCTGTCAGCCCTTATAGATGTGATTGACTAATAAATTGTTTCTTCCTAGCCTGTGAAGGATTTTTTTCTTAATCTTTACTGTAGGCATAGTTGATCAAACATAATAGTACTGCATTACAGTATTTTTAATAAGTCCATTTAACATGCATCATCCTGTTCAAGAAACACTTGGGTTATTTTAGTAGTTAATCATAACTCTTATGTGCCCATAGCAAAGCCGCACAGGCAGTTTAACAGAGAATATAAACCGAAGGCTTTCCCTCACCTTTTGGGACCTATCTGCAAATTAAAGCTTCTCTTTTTCTGTTCCATTTGTGTTGTCAAAAGAAGACATTCCCTCAGGTGACCATGCAGGCTGTGCAAACAGACAATGTAAATAGTTAACTGGCTTTCACTACTTCTTCACACCATCTTGTCAATCTACTTTGAAACCAGAATTGAGGATATGGCTCTTCTCATTAAATTCTGACTAATAGGGGATCATTAGGTAGCAGTTCTCTTATAATTCCAAACATTTGGCAGCCTGCAGACTACCCCAATTGTAATGAAAAGGAACACAAGATGAAAATACTATACTGCATCCTTATTTACATTTATCTTAGGTATTTAATATATTGTCTGTACTTGCCACCTTTCAAATGCTGATCTCACAAACAGATTTTCTTATCTGAGGATGAGAAAGTTATAATGCCTTTATCTAATCTGTTGCACTTTTAGTTATACTGAGCTGCATTTTGTCATTTCTTTTGCCTTTTCAGATCTCAATTTCCTCAATAACAGATTTATACTGATGTGTAATACATGAAAACAAGTTCTCCTTGACTTTTAACTTCTTCCTTTAGGTTCTTCTTTCTTTATACGTGATTAGGTGATGCATTGAGAAAGTACATTTGGGAATTATACAAATGATCCATATAGCTCTTTTTTGTTAGTTTTGTATAGCAGAATATAAATGGAAAGTTTTTTGAGGATGAAACTCATTAAACATCACTTCATGCCTTGTGGTTTCAATTCAGCAAGATACATATCATCCACTTAAATTTTAACATACTTTAAGTTTTTTTCATACTTGGATATTAAATCACTGTTTCATTTATCTATTTTCATCTTTCATTTATTTATTGTGCCCTTTTATACACCCTTTCATAACATGATTACTAAATTATTTGATAAGAGTTTCTTTACTGGGATTAAGAAGAGTAACAGGACAGGACACCTACATAAATGTAGATTTACCGAGCCTTGATTGCAGCTTATTAATAGAAAAAAACCCTGCTTGTTAGGGGTATGCTTTCCAGATCTTATTTTCTAACGGTTAACATTAAAAACAGAGATTAAAACAGTTTTATGGCTCATGCTTTCAACAAGAATAATGGAGAGATCATGCAAAGGGGCTTATTTGATGTAAAGTTCCTTATATACTAGTGCCAGTTTCTCAACACCTGTTCCATTTTCCCAATTCTCTTCTGCCCTCTGAGTTGCACTGGTATAATCTACCCTGTGAACCAGACTGGGGAATTGATTAGATTTAAATATTTTTCATTGCTGAGTTGTTTTAAAGTTTGGTTAGTTCTCTTGATACCCTCCATTTGTTTTCTTGGGGTGTTTGAGAGGAAAACATGAGAATGTCAGACGCCCTGCTTTGAGCTGGCCATTCTGCTTCCATTTGTTTTAAAGCTGCAAAAACAATGCTCGTGTAACTGTGGTGTAATTCTCTTTACTTCACACTTTAGTTTTTCATTTGCATTAGAGAGGGAGGTCGGATTGTTGCCCCAAAGGTGATACAAGCTGAGCAGTTGTAGGTTGCCTTGAAGTAGGCTAATATAATTTCCTTCAGCTCATGTGAGGGAGGAAGAGATTTCTTTAAAATTTTGTTACTTATCATTTAATCTAACACAAAACTTAGCTTTTTGCCAGAACCAGCATTCTTACCCACCATTCTGGCTTACTTAAAATTTATATGCAAGTATTTAATGAAAAATTCAGACACATTTTTTTTAAAGTGAGAAAAAATTCCTATTGGAACTATGTAAAGGAAGTATTGGTTTGCAAAATAATCTTTTTTTTTTTCAGGTACTTTCCAAATGTACTCCAATTTAAGAAAAAAAGTAGAGAAAAAATTACAAAATAATAGGTCTGTCTTTAATTGAGGAAAGGAGTGAATGAGTTCAAATGTAAAACTGTGGAGCCTCCAAAGGTAGGGGAAATTTCCTTGCAAGCTCTCACAGTTTTGGAAGAAATCTGAGAATGAAAGTGTGCTAACTCACCAAGTTTAGTTACTGAATAAAATATTTCTTTAAAGAAATGTTTTGATACTTGTAAACATTTTGGCTGATCTGCTCTGATAGTTCCTTGCTGTTGTACTTGCAAGCAATCTTTGACTTACTTTTCTTAGGACAAAACTGTGTAAGTATTCAGAGTAGTTTTATAGATGAAAGTAATTTTTTTCTGTTACTGCAGTGTATAAAATGTGCAGGTTTAGTAAACCTCTCTTGATGTCATCTACACAAAGGCGTAGACCCCTCGCTTGAAATATATGGTAAAGTAGGGACATTATGAGATCTTAGCAGATGAGTGGAGTTAATGAATACCAAGGAGCATTTTGAAAGCTTAAAACTTTTTTGATATCCCTCACATTCTTGTGCTTTATGCAAGTTTTAACAGCGTCATAGAGGGCAAAATATTTTACAGTGGAACAAGCAGCAAGGCTGGATTTAAAAGAAATTATAATCTCAGTAGTGAAGGGATAATTTTTATCCTGAGGGGGAAATAATCAGTTAAGCAAATAAATGAGTGAAGTAATTATAGATGGCTTCTTTGGTTTTCTTTTTCCTTTTCTGTTGATTTACAGTGATACTTTTTTGTTAATTTTTCTCTCCTTCATTTTTCTGTCACTTTTTGATTTGTAATAGGCTTAATAGAATTGAAATGGGATGCACATAACATTCCCCAAAAATCAAACTTAAAAGAAAGGCCATGCAGTTTTAGGCATCTAGTAGAGCCATCTAAATAATACTGTGTGCCCACAATGCACGTTTCCACACTTTGCAAGAGAAACCTTCCCTCAAGATCCCATTGATAAAGAATCATAATGCTTTATGGATCTCACTTAGAGCCCTCTTTATAGCCCCGACATTTGTAACAGGTGTTTGGTCTTGGTGCACATAAATATATTATGGTGTTCTTATAAGAGGAAGCAAGTGATCAGAACTGAACTGGTACTGTCAGGGAATCGGCCCGGCTGGTCTAGAGGCTCTGTATTTCTCCTAAGGTGACCATGTGCCTCTACAGAATCTCAGAATAGTTTTTCACAACACTAAATGACCCCATTCTCCCTTTTCTGATGCAAGTATTAGAATGAACTGTTACATTAATTTAGAATTTTTCTTCATTTTTTTACTATTCTTAGTGTTATGGAGATGAGGAATTTTCCTATTATTAAGAAGCTCTCAGGAAAGAGGAGAAGGGAATATATGAAGGGAGGGCATTTTGTTTGGTGTGAGAAATCCGTGTATATACACTATACCCAGGTATTGAGGGGGTATACACTTCATTCAGGTTATGAAGTATTTTATTACCTTTAAGTGTCTTTTCCTACACAGTGCATTCATGGTGGTCATAACTTCATGAGGTCATTGATTTACATTTGATGTGCTTGAGCAAGAGGAGTCAATTTTCAGAAAGTTCCTATTCAAGAGTCTTCAGATAATGTGTTATTTTTTTGTCCGTTTTAGGTCAGTAGCCTCTCTCTGGAGGACTTAAATGCATTTGTGGCACTCGTTCTCTCTCTCAAAGGAAAGTCAGCTGCTCAGCTGGCAGAGCTGCAGGTATGGACTGGAGTAATTAAAAAACATAAAATGTTCATGGTAACTTCAGGATAAATATTTCTGAGAAAGACTTCTACATTAAGTTTTTTAAGATATGGGAACTGAGGGTCACAGTAAATATATAGGCGCTTAATGTGCTACAGTTCACATGAATACTTTTGTTTGTTAATTGTGTAAAAAAAAAAGGATATTTTCTAGTGGTTGCAGTCCTAAGGTGAGTGAATTAGTCTCACATTTCTTCCTGACTTGGCTTCCAGACTTCCAGCTGATGGAAAATTTGTAATGCTGACTCTTGTCTTGCAACATTGCTTAATTCTTTTTTTCCTGAGGAGGATAGTGGTTTGGGATGTAAGTTGTATGAAAATCATGACATAAAATAAAGTATTAGTACTTGTGAGAGAACATAAACTTAAACAGAAAAAATGTCCTGTTATCTAACGTGGTCCACTGTAGTGAAGACCTTTTGGATCCCTCTGTTCTGCAGTTATTCACAAATTCTTTTTAAAGTTTTATATATTCTGCAAATCTGGTGGTTTTGTTTCCTATCTTCTGAAATCCACATGTAGAAATGTAGGTTCCCAGATGTCGCTTACAGTAGAGCCATCCAAATAGTTCTTCTTGTATGTCTAATTATACAAGAGTATTTTCAATCTCATAGCTTGAGATTCTATTCCATGTATTAGCAGTGTACAGCATAGACTGCTCATGTCAACGGCTATTTGAGTTGTGGGTTTACTTAAAAGTAGGGAGGAAGGGGTTGGAAATGGTTGATACCCTAACATACCTTTACTCTGAAAACCTTGCTTATATTTCCAGTAAGTTCTTTGTTACTTTGAACAGCCCATGTTAGAGTTTTAAAATTTCTTTTTGCTGGTAGCAAGCCAACCACTCCTGTTACCATTCATTCATTTCTAGTGCACAGGGACCAAAATAACAAACCTGATGTGAATCCAGTTTCATTATTTGATTCATTATAACAGATAAAGTCCATCCTTTTGTAATCTTTTTTCCAAATTCATCGCAAATTTGTTCTGCAGCTGATCGGGTGTTAGATCTGTGTCATGGAAAGGAAGCATATTCCGCAATATGGAAAACTGCAAAAAAAATCTCTGTCAAAGACATTATTGCGCATAGTGTTGCACTTAACATTGACGGCATCATAATTTTATTGAGTCTGCTGTGGCAGTCACTCAGTAAAAAAAATAAAGGAAACCAAGCATAAGCAGGAACTATTGAAACAATTTGTATGTGCACTTACAGGTACTATTATGTAAGTTTCTACAGTGCTTGGAAGTTTATTCTGTTTGAATTAGATGTCTTTGTGTGATTCATTAATCCATGTATGCTACTTATGAACAGTCATTCTACTAATCTAAAGTTGTTCACAAAATTCTGTAACTTTCCCACAAAGCTTATGGCGCACCAGGTATTGTCTGCTCTTCCCTTGTTGACATAAAAGTACATGAAAGGTGAAGCTGGTCTTACACTGTAGCACTTCCCACTCTGTGAAGTGGACAGTATATTGTTGGGGTTGACTTCTGCGTGCTATTGGCAGGTACTTTCCAAAGTTATATCACTCTGCTGCTTGTGTAAGCACTTCATGCACTGACACATAATGCCTTCTGCTGTGCTAAAAAACAGCAAAAAAATCATACAATGCAACTGAATTATCAGGCTATTTTGTAAACCACTTCCTTGTCTGACTCTGTTGAAAGTCACAGTAGTGCCTTTGGCAGTGGTTTGAGACAGAGTAAATCCCTCTGAAGAGAATAGTGAGGAAAGAT